GTTAGTTTCAATTTTTACTCGTTTTTTAAGTATACATTATGGAGAAATCCAAATTCCAAATGTGATTTAAATCTTTATATTTTTAATTCCTTATTAATAAGCTACATCTCGTTTTGTTTAAATTTATCCTATGTAAAGAAGATGCAAAGATTAGATTAATATTATATTAAAAAAGTACATTTTGTTGCTAAAATAATGCTTTAGATTCGGTTGAGAAATAATAAAAGTCAGCCAATTCAACAGCTATTGGTTTAAACATCAATGTTGTTTCGAAGGCCCACGAGTTGATAGTATATGCCCGCCTCCCTCCGAACTGAGTTCAAATATTTAATTTTTCCAGTTGGGCCTGCTATCGATGGATTAAGTGGTGTAAGGTGGATATCATAGAGTCGGATATCAGGGATCACCGATATTCTCGACCTCCCTCTTATTTTCCCGATATCCCTTCGAATCCGCTGATCTATCCTCCTCTGATATCACTTATATCCCCTTTGATAAATTCAGAGCCCCTTTTCATCACTCCGAGCAACGATTTGAAATGGCCATAGACGGTGCCGGTGATTCGGTTACTATTCCTATTTTTGGTTTGGATTTAGTGTTCGAATATTGGATATCCGTAATTTCCCAGGACTACTTATCCGACTACTTATCCGATATCCGTAATTTCCCCCTACTTTTTCTAATTTCTTAGAATTAAAGAAGTTCCAAATGAGACCTAACATAACAAATATTTTACATGGAAATTATTTTCATTTTAAATTTTTTTCGATTTTCAAGGTTATTTTTCTTTCGATTTCGAAGATTTTGAAAAATATTTTTGATTTCGATATTTTTGAATTTATTTCGATTTCCGATCTTCGAAGATTTTTTTTGTTTCGAAGCATCTCTGATCTGTACCCATTTTTAACTACTCAAGCTCGACAGCAATAATGTAGCATATTACATAAAAGTTTTTTTAAATAGTGTAAAGCATTTAGCTATTTAATTCCTAAGGCTGTGCAGTAGGCGGCGTGGTGTAATGGTTAACACATCAGTCCTGTCTACTGAAGATGCTGGTTTGCTCCCAGCCGCCGAATAACCTTTTGCACTAGCCAAAGGAGAGAAATAGCTACGTATAGCCCAGCTGCTTTACTATTGCGACGAAATATAAGAAAAAGATATTTTTGTTATATCATTTACTAGGAACAAGAACTTAACATTGGTACAGATAATTATCAAATTAATTTAAGCATCTTCATAGATAATAATCTCTTAGCACAACGGCAGCCTCAATTTTATCCACAAATACTTTTATTAAAAAGAATGAAAAGGAAGAAGAAGAAAATAATATAGTAGATATCTTATCATTCACTCCAGGACCTACACAACAACATAATTTATTTAATAAGAAATTAAAAAATGTTTTGACCGGAATAACAATGCAGTCCGATTCATTCTTAAACACTCTCGGGTGTGAAAAATTGGGCTCTGATAAGTCTCCAAGATTTTCCGTTAAATCAGTATATCGTCTAAAACTTAAACTTTGGAAAATACAAAGCCACCAGGGCTGGGCTCATTTCGCAATTTCGTGTTTCGCATCTTTCGCATTCTCGCATTTTTTGGCGCGAAGAGTTTCGCGTTTCGCTTTTTGGTCCGAATGCGAAATTTGTTTCGCCTTTTTCGTTTAGTATTTTTTTATTCTTTAGATATTTTGACATAGAAATTTTTAAAGGAGAAGGAAAAGAAATACATATTTATAATCTGACACTTTGCTTTCGTTGGTTGATGGTGGAGTGGTTAAGTTGACTGACTTCGTTCACATTGGTGTTTTTGGGGGATGGGTTCGAATCCAGACATAGGAAATAAGACTTAAACAATTTTTTCTTCCAAAAATAAATGTTTTTAAACTTTAATTTTAAATTGTAAATTTGTTTTATAAAATATTAATCATATTTGGCACGACTCGAACAAGACTCGTATATAAAGTTCATAGTAAAAAATGAAAAATGGGGCCGGCCGGATTTTTTTGGATTAATCCGATTGGGACCCGGACTCAGGCAAAGCCGGCCTGGAGCCCGGTCAGGTGCCGGGCGCTAATAATAAGCAATCTTAAGAAGAGTCTTCTTAAAAAAAATGCACTAATGCTTTTATTTTTCATCACAATCTCGTAATTTAGAATTTTGAATATGAATAAAATATTTTTAAAATTTTTAATTAATTTCGCTTTCGCATCTTTCGCATTCTCGCATTTTTTAGCGCGAAAAGTTTCGCATTTCGCTTTTTAATTTTTTTAAAAAAGTTTCGCATTTCGCTTTTTATTTTTTGATTGCACCCAGCCCTGAAAGCCACCCTCTAATAGAATGCCAACTTAGAAGTGGATCGAAAAACAAATGCCATAGCATTTATTGAAAGAAATACGGTATACAGGGTGACAAGAAAGATATGGGGCACACATTTTATGCCATAACTTTATTCAAATATAAGATAATGAGATCAAATAAAGCTTATATGATAGAGCATTAAACTTGGAGCAAGAATAATCAAGAATTTTTGAAGGACCTATCCTTCCTTTGGATACAAAGTCGAAGACGCTTGGAAAACTTTTTGGTGAAAATTCGCACCACATTGGGTGAGACTTTCTCCATTCCCGAACGAGCGACCAACCTAGAAGTAGATCAAAAAACAAATGCCATGGCATTTATTGGAAGAAATACAGTATATAAATCCGGGATCTATATATACATAATATTACTCTCAGCAAAAAATATATTCATGCTGTGAAAACCCTCCATATATTTACATAATAAGATTTTTGTGAAACAAAAAGTATTTAAGAACGGGATCGGGACTGTAAATATCAAGTTCAGAAGAAATTAGATGTTCTGCTTTGGATAATTCAAAATATAAAATATATCTTTGTCAGAGATGTTTAAACCATAATGAGGTTAGTGAATTTTATTATCTGAAATGGAAATATGAATTTATTTACGAATTGATGGAGAAAGCCAAATGAATTATGCTTGATTCGGTGGGACTCACGGTTTTGCTGATTAAGAGGACCTCTTAATCCACAAACGCTTAGTCCGCCAAATAAATGTAATTATTAGGTATGGATATGATAATAATATAAATACCGTATTTATTCTAATTGAATGGCCGCCATTCTATTTTTCAATACCCCAAAAATTGTCATTCAATTGAAGGGGCCATTCAAATGGAGGTGGCCATTCTATTTTTTATTCAAATCCATTAATATTTCCTGATAAGACTCAGGTTAACATCCACTTAATCTACAAATACTCGAATCGCCGAAATCCTCCAAATCCTCGATATCACTCCGAATCCAAAAAACCTCTAAACCCTCTTGCTCAACGAATCCCTGAATATCTCCCCCAATTATTTTAATCCCCAGATGTTTTCTTCAAATCCTTTTGATCGATTGATAACTCTCTTAATCCTCCCAAATTCACCCATATCCCTTTTAATCCTTTTTTTGACTCTAAACCTTCTCAAAAATATCACAATTATCCGTACAGAAAGAGAATATTAAATTAGTTAATTAAGGGATTAAAGAAATACGAGTTAGGTAGGTAGTTTGTAGTTCAAAAGGGCCATTCAATTGGGGGGCCATTCAAATGGAGGTGGCCATTCTATTTTTCATTCATTCAAAAATGTGTCATTCAATTGGAGGGGCCATTCAATTAGAATAAATACGGTATATAATTTGCGTCTAAATTTTCGCATTGCCTGCCAAAAATTTTCTTTTCTTCCCATTTTTCGGCGAAAGGATTTCCCTCTTTTGTTTTATTTGGGAAAAGATACTAGAGTAACTTAATCTCGAATTTATTAGCGTGGTTGCTGGTTAGGCAAAAATTTCAAAAAATATTATATTCAAGAAATCCCAAATTATAGGAACATGCCCGTAAAGGGCACAAGGCATTTTGTCGCTATCAAGACTGTAAATGTGCAGAATGTCAACTGGTTATAAAACGTAGACGATTAAATAAAGCTTTAAACTCTCGACGACATGGAAAAGGAAAATTAAAATTAATTAAGAAACCTTCTGGATCTAAATTACGTAATCCAACGTGTGCAAGATGTTCAGCACATGGAAAGAAAAGCACATTAAGAGGGCATAAGAAGGTTTTAGATATGTGAAAATATAAAGTTATTTCAATTTTTAGACGTTATGCCCTTTTCGAATTTGTGGCTGTGAAAATTGTTGTTTAGTCGAGGAGAGGTTTGTATAATTACTAAAGATCAGCAAGGTACGGTTCCCTCAATGGATTTTCTGAGATCGCTGCCCGAAATCACATGTTTAAAGCTACAAACGGTATTACCTGGATTTAGGATTTACCGAATTAATCACGATAAATCTTGTCGTTGCAGTAACTAAAAACGTGTTTATGTAAAGCATATAGGTATTTAATTCCTAAGGCTGTGCAGTAGGCGGAGTGGTGTAATGGCTAACACAGTCCGGTCTACTGAAGATGCTGGTTCGCTCCCAGCCGCCGATTAACCTTTTGCTCTAGCTAAAGGAGAGAAATAGCTATAGCACAGCGGTTTTACTTTCATATTAAGGATGAAATGTCGATCTCGAAAAACCTCGCGATATTAGTTCCTCGTGACTAACAGTGCTGGGTATGGCTCCGGGAGCTAGCTCCGGAGCCTGGCACCGTCGGAGCCGGAGCCAAGAATTTGAAATGCCCGGAGCCGGAGCCAACAAATGGCAAATACCCGGCACTGGTGCCTAATACTATTTGATATTCTAATTTTTATTAAAATCAGGCGACGCCTCATGGCTGCCCAAATCAAACTAAGACGAAGGCAAAAAATTCGTGTGCGAGCACCAAATATCCACGACGATGAAAACGGCAAATTACTATTTCCCCATCTTTTTAATACGAATAATTGTTGTTTTTCTGGAAGTTCTAATATAACAAAACAGCAAAAGAAAACGAAACAATATATATCGAGAAGTCAACAAAACATTTTTAATGACAAAGGACAACAAGAGTTGATAGAGACACTCGATTTTCCAACTCATTCACAATATTTACACCGCCAACATTTTCAACATACATCTCAACTTCCTTCTAATTTTCCGCTTATTCAACAGATTACATCAGAAATAACACAAAATCAACATAGACCGCCAATCTATCTTTCTTTTAACAGTCCTCAACAATACTGTATTAATCCACAACCCCCAATTCTACCTAATATACAAAGGACATATACAATTAATGCGGCTATGCGAAACAACTCACTTGCTCCTCAACTATATTTAGTCTCTCAACAAAGACCTGTTTGTAGTCAATTACTAGTCTACTCACAACCTTCTTTACCACCCATTTTTTCACAACTTGGCCATCAAGGAACTTTAGTTTCAAATACTTCTCAACAAATTGTCTCGCAACAAAAACAAAATTTTTTGCAACAAATACCAACAACTTCTCAGCAATCAGCGAGTACTTCATCTTTATATGAATGGTTTTCTTCTTTACCAACATCCATATTAGCGCAAATTCCTCCGACAAATCTTATTTACAATTAATTATTTAAATGATCAAATTTATTTAATTTATTTTTATTTAATTGAATGGCCGGTCATTCTAAATTTCAATTCTATCTAATTCTTTTATATTGTATATTATCCTTTTTTGGCGCGGCATGTGCCAAAAATTTATTCACCATAATGATGGATTTTTTAAATAAATGGCAAAATGCCCTATTAATCAAAATGCCTATGAATGGCAAAATGACCTACTTTTTCCGGAAAAATGTCCTATTATAAATACCTTTTTCAGCCTATTTTGCATATTTTTATTAAAATTTGGTCATATTTGGACATTTTTTGAGGAATTTTTGTCTAAAAATTATTTTTTGGTAAAATTTATGGCTCTATTACACAATATACGTCCCATCGACTTTTATACTTCTAATCAAAGTTTCATACCTCCAATCAACTTTTATACGTTCAATCAAAGCTTATATGGACAATAAAATAAATTCAAAAAGAATCAAAATAATTTTTATTTATTTTAACGCCTTGCTCAATGCCTAACAGAGATTTAATTTAAAAATAATAATTTAAGAAATGAATTTAATGTGTGTAACATTAAACACTGAACATTACAATTAAAAAACGATTTCCATATATAGTTGCAGTAACATCACGTACCCGTTCCATGTAGTTCCATGTCTAATTTTCACAGGAAATCTAGTCGTAATACAATTCCTGGTTTAATTTTTGGTCAAGCATTCAAAATTAATTGGTTGAATAATATTTTTAATTTATAATTTATTTTTTAAATTATATTTATTTTAAATTATAAATGATAAAAATGACCGTTTAATGTTTAAATTTGTATAAAAATCTATTAATTTTAATTTTTAGTTATTTTATTTATTTATTTATTTATGAGCAACCACACGGTATAAAAAATACACTAATAGTGGTGAAAAAAGACAAATATATGTAAAAAGAAATTTTTTGTAAAATAAATTTAGTAGAATTATGTATTTGGATGTTTGGTGAAATAATTGTTTTGTTGTATATTTTGTTAAAAATTTGTCTTATTTTAATGTAGAGTTCAGCGGGATCGGGATCCCGGTCGGGATCGGGCGGGATTATCCCGGGTTTTTCGAATCCCGATCCCGATTTTTCTCATCCCGCTCCCGAAATAAATATCCCGAGCCGGGATCGGGATGCGCATCAGATCCCGATGCAAATCCCGATTTTATAAATTGACTAGAAGTCTGTGAAATAAAGTTGACAGAAGAGGGGAGGGATCGGGATCGTCATTCCTAAATCCCGTTCCCTGATTTTTCTCTAAATCCCGATACCGCTGAACTCTATTTTAATGTTTGACTTCAATAAGTTTACTTTCACGTATGTTTCTGCATGTTTCTATAACTAACCCCTAATGTCGAAACCTTAGGGGTGCTTATAATAAAAAGTTTGGTCAAGACGAGTGTGAAAGGGTGAAAAGTAATTAGTATTTCTAGGGTTAAGAAATGTGCGGAAGAATTTTTAAAATAATTAATTAGATACCAAAATATGCATTCGAAATCAAGTTTGGACGGCTTCAGTAAACAATTAATCACTATTGTTCCAAAATTTAAATCGAAGAAATTTAATGTTAACTCCATAAAATGCACCAAATATGCAGAAAAATAGTGAAAATATTTTTTAAAAATCACTAGTTTAAGTAAAAAACACTAATTTAGCCTTTAAAATTGCAATATAAAAGCACTTCATAAAGATTCTATTATTTAAAATTTCTGCAAAAAAATTTTTGAAAAAAATTTTACAGAAAAATTCTCTAAAAAATTTGCCTAAAAAATCCAAAATCTAGAAAAATTTGCCAAGTTTTTATTTAAATTTACCAAAAAATGCCGAAATATGGACCAAAATATGCAAAATTTGCCAAAATATGCTCAGATATGCAAATATGCACGAAATGTCAAAATATGCAAAAATAGGTATTAAGAACCGGGAGCTAATGTGCTCGGACCAATGTAAAAACATCATTTATGGGCTCGCCACTTCAAGGCATATCCGCATACAAAACATGCATTTGCATGTATTTACCAATCCTATTAATAAGTTTATCTTTTGCATCTCATTTTATTATCTACTTTTGCTGATCTTTTTAATTAAACAAATTCAGTCTAACAACAAATCTTATAAAAAAATATGTAGTTGCAATTTACAACAAGAAATAAACTTTTAAAAGTCCGGATTTTTTCGCTAGATTCAAATAGCCGATTATTTATTATTCAAGGCTAAAAGAGTAAAAAATCGAAAAAAATTTTCCAAAACACATTGTTGCATATACATAATATTAATTGCTATATTTATTTAAAATTTGCATCTTTAATAATATTTTAAATGACTAAAGTAAATATTTAATATTAACCAGAATGAGGTCTAAATTAAATAAAAAATTAAAATATATTCCAATTAAATCAATTATTTTTGATAATAAACCAGGGCGTGGAGGATATAGAAGGATTTATAAATGCGTTAAAATATTCGCAGTACGTTAATTACTTAAAGTTAACACCTACCAGGCAGTGATGTCAAAGTTCCAGAACTAGAACTACGGAACTAACGATTATCTGGAACTAGCTTTGGAACTAGTTCTGGGGGGTCCAAAATTCTCAAAATTTTCGCCTGCGGCACTGAAACAGGAAGAGATCTGGTGGCTTATCCTTCCAAAATTCTCAAAAATTTCGACTGCGGTTCCAGAGAAATTTTGGAACTTTGACATCACTGCTACCAGGGTATGAAGTTATCAATTAATTTTTATTAAAATTAGTCACCAGATATACGACTAATAACGCTCAGTTTAACACCCACAACTATGATAAACTAAACATTAAAAATTCGTAAAATTTTTCTTAAGTTAATAATTATGCTGGCTTTGATTTATTTTCTTCTAACAAGAAAAAAAGATTTGAAATTTTTCGTGTGTAATAGTTACTCACCTTGTTATAACTTGAAATCAAGCAAGGTAAAATTATTTGAAAAATAGATGACTTTGATTTTGTGTAAAATAATCATTTAATACTTTCCACGTCCACTGAATTTAAACCTCAATGTCTCCCATGTAAAATTTTTCGTTTTATTAACAATATGGGTTTCTTGCAGCAAATTTAAAGGGCTTTCAGAAAAGTATGAAATAAAAAATTAATACGGCTTCTGTAAGGATGATTCACCCAGCAGCATTTAAAACGCTTAGGCGGGGGTTAAACGATCTAAAAAGGAAAAAGAGAAAGCATTAGTCGATGCCCCGGTAGCTCAGAGGTAGAGCTCCTGCATCTGGTGAGCGAAAGCGCCTAGCAACAACTACCAGGTGGTCGCAGGTTCGAATCGTGCCCGGTGGCTAAACTTTTTCTTCTAGGGGTAAAACTTTTTCTTCTAAACTTTTTCTTCTAAGTTCTTTCTCTTCTAGGGGTCGAAAATATTTTTAAAGACGTTTACCTTCTGTTTTCTGTTGATTTTCGGGTTTCGAGATCTCGATGATAGAAACATATTAGAACTTCGTTTCTTTTGTATTTTATATTGATATCAATAGATATGCTCACTGGAATTTTTGTGAATTTTTTCTACCATCCAAAACAGAATTATCCTATTTGGTTATATATCATTTCCGGACACACCGTATCAAATCCGTATTACTTACACATTACCGCCTTTCACTTTTTGAATGAATTTCGCCTTACTATTCTTAAAATATTAATTTCTATACTTAATTAAATTTCTATACTTAAAATATTTTTCGGCACACCTATTAATAAAAATTGTTGATAATACCTTAAAGATACTTTTATGAGGGTTCCAAATATTTTAGTCAACACCAATAATTCTTGGTTGGAATAATCTAATTGATAAAGAAAATATAATTGATATGCAAACTGGACTGTATAATATTGATGAATGTAAATACGAATGTGAATATTTAACAGATAGAGATTTGTTAAGTTTATAAAATATTTAAAGAAAATAATTTGAAAAAATTGAAGGTATATGAATGCCAGTGCAATTATATATAATATTAGGGCTACGCACATAGATTTGCCAAGAAAAAGATTTTCTAATCAATTATATGTTTTCTTTGTGGATGAATCACCTTCAGACACATATGAACATTTTACAGTAAATACCAGACCTGTGCATGGACACGGATTTTGGGTCCGCATCCGGATATATCCCTGATATTAATTAAAAATTATCTTTTTAGCAGATATACAAATTATTTGAAACTGCTGAGATGAAGGCAAAAATCAAAATCTTGAAGAGTAGGGTTTAGGTAGACGAGTCGGGCCGACGTTCGAATCATTTTTCGGGCTTTATTTTTATCGGACCGGTCCGTCAAGTCTTATTGAAGGGTCAAAAAGAAAGAATTCTTCTACATTTTTCAGTGCTGACTAAAAGATAGGGGATTAAAACTAAGTATCCATGCACAGTTTTGTTAAATTTTTATTTTAAAGTCACTTGTAAATAAATAACACTAATTGATACAGACTATCTTGGGGGGACCTCTATATAGACACTGGACCTCTATATAGACACATTATTGTGTATAATTTTAATTTTTTTATGAATGTCTAGATCAGTGATGGAAAAGTTCCGAAATTTCTCTGGAACCGGTTCCAGTTCTTCACTTCCATATCCGGAGCAGTAGCATAGGGAGCGATGAAATATTCTAGTTGATATAACGCATATTTTGCGATTTTATTTTGGCTGTCCCTATTCATTAATCGTGTATTTATTTACATGTGTAAACATAATTTACAAGATTTCTCTTAAATTATAAGGATGTTACACCTGATTATTTCAATATAACAATGACTTATCGTGTAGATAGCGATATTTATTACCCATATGATACTTTTATTCCTTGTAATGGCAAGTGCCATGTGGATGAATTTTGGTCGGAAAAGGAGGTAAAAAGCACATTATAAATTTTATAATTTGTTTCTAAGGTAATAGAAAGTGTAAGAAGGAAAACAAAATTGGCAATGAAAGCTTTTTCGACTTGTTGT